AGCTTTTCTTTTTGCTTTGTTTGCTTTGTCCCACTTGTGCCTTCACGGGTGTGCTTGCTTGAGTGCGTGCAGGTAGTGCATGACCCGTAGCCAGTCGGGAGGTTTACTGCCGTTGAATCCAGAGATTGACCGCACCTGTCGCCAGCTCAGGAGACAACAGCGAGCTAGACTGGCTACGGAAGAGCGCATAGACGGCCACCTGAGCAGCGATTCTGAAGAAGAGCACGGGATGGACGGAGACTACAACCAACACCAGGGGAATCCACAGCAGGTTCCCCCGGTGAATCAGGTCCTGGGGAACAACCCCATACCCCAGGATCATGGAGTTCATCATCAACCACAGCCGGGTCCCACCTTGGAGTACTACTACACTCCGCGGATTGCTGACATCCGCCCGGTCATCCTCTACCCGCCTATCCCAGCAAACAACTTCAAGATCAAGCCATGCTGGATTCAGCTCATTACATCTTCCATCCAGTTCCATGGCTTGAAGGATGAGGAGGCCAGGGTACATCTCTCCCGCTTTCTGCAGCTGACGAACGGGTTCAAGGTGAATGGTGTCCCGGATGATGCAATCTGCCTGCATCTCTTTCCCCATTCTCTGGCGGGGAATGCTAAGAGGTGGTTGGAGACCCAGCCCCCATTGTCCATCACCTCTTGGGACGATATGGCTGATAAATTCGTGCACAGGTACTATCCGGCATCGAAGACTACAGAGATTCAGCGGGAGATCACTCACTTCCGCCAGGAGCCAGATGAGTCACTTCGTGATGCTTGGGAGCGGTACATGGGCTATTTCTGGCAGTGCCCCCATCATGGCTTCAGTGATGCATTCACAGTGGGGAACTTCTACAGTGCCCTTTCGCTAGATAGCCAGAGGGTGATTGAGTCTTTATGCCCAGGAGGGGATATTCTTACCAAGACTCCACCCGAGCTGAACCAGATGATCAGTACTTTGGCTGCCAGAGATCATTCTTGGGGACAGGGTAGCCGAGGCAGACAGTCCCGGGACCGTGGTGTGCACGCCATGGAGACCAGATCCGGGCTCGAGCAGCAGGTAGCTGAGCTAGTGCAGACATTGAAGCACCCCAACAGTCTGATTCCGGGCAGAGGTTTGGCTACACCTCCAGTTGCTCAGTGTCAGTGGTGTGAGAGCTCCAATCACCTAGTGGAGGACTGCCAGGCTATGAGGGAGTCTACCACACCCTAGGAGCAGTTGGCCTTCATCGCCAATGCGAGGCGCCTCGATCCATACAGCAGCACATATAATGAGGGGTGGCGCCAGCATCCCAACTTCGCCTGGAGTAGCAACACCACTAAACCACCTGGTTTCCCAGCACCAGCAGGTGGTTTTCAGCAGAGGCAGCCCTTCCAGGCTCGCCAGGGGCCAGACCCACAGCAGCAGCCCTACCAGCCTAGGCAGGGCCAGCGATTCCAGCAGCCCCAGCGCCAGTTTGCTAAGCCAGCAGCAGCTCCGGCTCCAGATGACAGGATGACGAAGCTGGAAAACATTCTAGCTTCATTCATGACTAGCACCCAGGCTGCTATCACATCACTGGAGGCAGGTCAGCGGAACCAGGGTGCCATTTTGCAGGATCTGCAGACCCAGGTGGGCATCTTGGCCCGGCAAAACACTACCAGGGCACCGGGGACTCTGCCTGCCACCACTGTTCCTAATCCTCGAGATCCTCACCAGCATCAGCAGCTGGATGCCATTTTTACCAGGAGCGGTAAGACCATATCTGCTGCTCCTGTCCCGGCCAGACAGGAGGAACCACTGCCTGCTTCAGCACTTCCAGCCGACGATGCAGAAGTGCGGGTGGAGAAGGAAGCCCCTGCTCCCAAGACACAACCAGTGGTTAAGGAGCATGTACCCCAGCTTCCCTTCCCCACTCGCCTACACAAGGACAAGCTGGAGACTGAGTTTGCCAAGTTCATGGCAATGTTGAAGCAGCTCAACATCAGCATACCGTTCATGGAGGCACTGTCGAAGATGCCCAAGTATGCCAAGTTCATGAAAGATATCTGCACCAACAAGAAGAAACTTGGGGATCTCTCGACAGTGATGCTGAGCGAGGAGTGTTCTGCTATCCTGCAGAACAAGCTGCCCGAGAAGCGCAAGGACCTAGGGAGTTTTACTATCCCCCTTACTATTGGCAGCATGCATGTAGGAAAGTCCTTGGCGGACCTAGGCGCTAGCATTAACGTCATGCCATATAAGTTGTATAAAATGCTAGACCTAGGTGAACTTAGCCCTACTAGGATGAGCATTCAATTAGCTGATCGTTCTATTGTGCATCCTAGGGGAATCATAGAGGATCTACTTGTTGGTGTTGGTGCATTCACATATCCTGTTGATTTTGTTATTCTTGATGTGCATGAGGATGTGGATGTGCCTTTGATTCTAGGTAGGCCATTTCTTGCCACCGCCAAGGCACTTATTGATGTGCATGATGGTAAATTGATTCTGCGTGCTGGTGATGAACAGGCTACTTTTTCTGTGACTGAGTTTGATCACTGTGCTATGATTGCTGTCACGCCTGTGCATGCTATGTCTGATCAGGTACACGAGTCTGTCGTGTACCCTTCTGCACCTCCTATTTTGCAGGACCCTCCTATCATTCCTTCGCCGCCACTCCATCCAGCCTCGCCTCCGAACAAAAAGCTCAAGGAGGAGTGGCGGCCGAAGCAGCAGGTTGCTAAGCCTGCACGGAAGAAGAGTGGAGACCACTATGAGCTGGTCCCACCTCCTGCACCACGACCACCCTGGCCGTCTGGGTACTCGCTCTCCTGCATCTTGCCAGATGGGCAGGTCGAGCTGACTGATGAGGGTGGTCGCATCCGTCGGGTGCATGGCCACAACCTCAAGCTGTACCTCAAGAGCGAAGTGGATCCGCTCTTGGAGGCACCTGTTCCTGCACCGCCCTGAGTATCCACCATGGGCGTCCAGCTAATACGACGGTAAAGAAGCGCTTGTGGGGAGGCAACCCCACCACGGTTTGATTTTCTTTCTTGTGTTTTGAGTTGGATTGTAACCCGGTTTGGGTTTGGTTTGTTTTCTTTTGGTTTGGATGATATTTTATTGGGCTGACCATTGAACCTAACATACTGTGTTTGAGCCCTTCTGTTCCCCTTTGGCTGTGCTTGCTCCGACTGGCCCGCTTCCAGTCTCCTGCAGTCCGTGCATACCGGTAACATCGTTCCCCTTTCCCTTCCCTCTTCTCCATTGAGGGCAATGTCGAGCTTAAGTGTGGGGGGGTGTTTATCTTTTGACTGCATTAGATCTGTTTGTGTGCTTGGAGCCTAGTCCACTGTCCAAATTTTTAAATTTGAGGGCTCCAAGTACGTGTCTCCTTGCAATTACCTGCTCAGTATGCTTTGAATTGACAGTCTTTATAGTAACATGCAACCTAAGGAGGTAGTGTAGCACTATGGAGGATGTTGATGCATTTAAGGAGTCTCATTTCTTCTTCATATTGAGTTGGTTGATTGAGTGAATTAGTGATCTTAGGACCCTTGAATTGTGTGGTGTTGTGGATTCTCTGCCTGTCATGGACTCTTGTATCATGTTTTGAAAATAACAGGTGCTCGAAAATGTGCTTCAAAATAACGTCTCCCGTGCGAATAGGGCGAAAGTGTGTAGGGGGAGACGGGAATCCGTTCCCAACTTCCACCTACTACCTCCAGCCCCCTTACATGTCTTTCCCCCGCACGAGGCTCGAGACATCCGCTCCTGGCATGGCCGGTAAGAGCAAGTTGGGACCCTTGAAAAGAAAAGAAAAGAAAAATAACAGAAACAAGCAAAACAGAAAAAAAAGGGTTCCAACCATCTTCAAAGAAAATCGAGCACCTTGAAAAATGTGAGTCCATGATCCTTTGTTTTTGAGAATCTCTCCATCCACGATTCATTTGTCCTCTGTTCACTTTTTGCCATGATGCCGACTCGATAAGAAGCTTTGAGATGACTTGTGTGTCGGTTGACCTCGTAAGTTGCTAAATGATCTAGGAAGTCCTCTACTTACGATCTGGGTTATTTGTTGCTATAGAGGTCTGGAGAGTTGCATTGGTTTGAGTTAGGTTTGCTTGGGGACAAGCAAACGGTTAAGTGTGGGGGAATTTGATAACGATGTAAATGCACATGTTTGCGCCCCTAGTTCTTATCCGTTTGAGGAGTATAGTCGTGTGTTTTGGCCTATTTTACGCCGGGTTGTGCTATTTTGTCATGTTTCAGGTCCCAGGCATTAAAGGGAAGGCTAACCGCGAGTTTCGGAGCATTCGGAAGTCATTTCGGTGAGCTGGAGCCAAAACACGGGCAGACCCAAGGCATTACACGGCCGTGTACTGCTGGCCGTGCTTTTTATGCCGAGAGCATATTTGGTTTGGCCAATTCAGTTGCAAACACGGGCACCAAAGCACGGCCGTGTTCTGTCAAAGCACGGCCGTGTCCAACGCGAAGCACGGCCGTGTTTACCCCAATTGCTGGCCGTGTAATTAAACACTGGCCGAAACACGGGCAGGCTCAGGCAAAGCACGGCCGTGCCCTCGACCGTGCTTTGGCCACTGATGCTTTTAAGCAGATTTTCAGCCACAATTCAGGGGGATTCGAGTTTTTGAGAGAGAGATCAGTTCCTAGAGAGAGAAAGTGACGAGCAAGAGTTCCCAAGTGCCCTAGATTGATCTTCAACACCATTGGAGGCCAGCTTGAGCTTGGAGAAGTGCCGATCAACGTCCAGAAGCAGGAATCCATCCTCCGCAGTATGAATTCCGTGTCTGATTCTGCTTTTGCTTTCTTCTCTATGGAGTAGTTCTCCCATTCATCTGGGTATGGAGAACCCTAGATTTGTATGTTATGCTTTGATTGTATGAACCCAAGTACTGATTCTGTGATTGATTATATTCGATTGAGGTTTTGATGATTGAATGACTTGAATCCTGATCAAATTCCTGTTGTTTCTGCCTTAACCTAGAATGAGAATATCTGCCTAGGTTAATAGAGTATCCTTGATTGAAGGTAGGGAGTTGGTGACTTTAGTCGAGGAGCCAACTCACTATTATGTACCGGATTTACTCCGGTAGTGGAGGTTTTGTTCTTAGGGCCTCAATCTGTCGACTCCGGTGGAGGTTAGTCGCCCGCTAGAGAGTCAGATTGAGAGGGTCTGAAGACCTTTAGTCGAGACTTCAGGCTGTTTAAGAACCTTCCGCAGTATAATCTTCATAGAAACTGAACTTGGTAATTACAATCCGGCTTAACTACAGTCTAGGGGGAACCATATCCGGGTGACCTCTTTAACCTGAATACAACAGTTTACTTGCTTTGTTTGTTTGGTAGTTTAGACATGCATTCCAGTTTCATTGCTAGATAACACGAATTCACTGAGTAGTCATCATATCTAGGACCCGGGTTGATAATTAAACCTAAACCCGCTATACTACGCTTTAGGAAGTGGTTACACTTGGCCAATTCCTGGAGTGACAGTAGAGTCGAGTCACCTACCACCCCTTCGCACATCCCACACCGAGCTTTGAAGAGGCGGGCATGAGTGAGAAGATGAAAGAAGATCTCATGAAAGAAATTGGTTGGAAACTTGCTCTCCAATCCGTGCTAGAAGAAGAAGAGCAAGAAAGGGTGCAGAAAGAAGTTGTGGAGGATGACGAAAGTGAAGCAGGAGGAGTTCTTGATCATTTCCCAAGGGTGATACCACATGAAGAAGAAAGGGGGGTTGAAGAAGCAATTGGCGTCCAGGCTGAGGATGGAGTTAAGGTGGAAGAGGCCTGCACCGGCCATGAGTTACATGTGATATCTCCACCAAACTTTGAGGAACTACTTAGCAAGGACCCATTTGCAGTGTCTCTTTGCCAGACCAAGGCCACATCGACATCGGTTCCTCTTGGTGGACGCGGTGGTGGTCAATCGATGCTGTCATATCTAGTTTGGGGTAATGAGACGAGAGAAGAGAAGAAGAGGTCTCTAGGGTGGAGACTTCATCTGCATCAAATGCATGAGCCTTCATCACCTGCCACACCACATGCTCATGACTTGAGACTCCACCTCATTGACGAGAACCTCAACTTCAAGGAGGTTTTGGTGTGGACCGAAACTTAGGAACTATCGTCCGGCTCATGACGTGAAAGAAGCGCTTGTTGGGAGGCAACCCAACCAGTCGGTTTGCATTTCTTTCTCTATTTCTCCTCGGTTAAGTCAGTTTTGTTATTTGATTTTAGAGTCAATAACTCAACCTTTGTGAGATTTTATGTGGTGTTTGCATTCTGACTACTCTCTCCTCCTGGAATGCACCGCCTGCCTAATCCACCATCATTCACCCTTGATCTGGTAACTTCGTTCTACCATCCTTATCTTTCCTCCATTGAGGACAATGTCATGCTTAAGAGTGGGGGGATGTTCGATTATGTATGCGGGTGAATGTTTGGCTGTTTGTGTGCTTGGAGACTAGTCCACTATCCAAATTTTTAAATTTGAGGGCTCCAAGTACGTGTTTCCTTGCAAATTATCTGCTCAGTATGCTTTGAATTGATAGTCTCTATAGTAATGTGCAACCTAGGGAGGTAGTGTAGCACTATGGAGGATGTTGAAGTATAAGATTTTTCATATCTAGCTCTCTGCTGTGCTAGTTGATTTTGTGAATTAGTGGAGCTAGGACCGTTGAATTCATGTGGTAATGGTGACTCTATGTGGATTGTGTTATGGACTTGTGTATCGAACAGGGTGCTCATGTGAAAAATGAAATGCAGTTGGTCCTCCATGTCAAAATCATTAAATCTTAAACATGGGGTAACCCCAACATGTGTGACACCGTTCATTGCACAAAATCGGGTTTTGAAAGAGATTTTAGTGATCCTTAGTGGGGTACTCCTACAAGGTGAAGCTAAGTTGTCTCAAGTACAAGTAAAACTTTCACCGTTGAACGGTTTGCCTACTTGAGGATGTGTTTTTGAGGGCACGGATAGAGCTTCCGACCCCCCTTAATTTCATTGACCATCCACACAAGTTGAGGAAAAGGAGTTAAAAGATGTACTCTGGCGAGCGCCAGATGTACAGAAATTGCTCTTGCTCAACTAATAAGGGTCGACCGTGCAAAAGACTGCAGTTGGAACCCCCGCCAAGTGAATGAAAAAGAAAAAAAAGTAAAATGAAAGTGAAAAAGGGGTTCCAACGGTGAAATGAAGTGAAAGAGCACCATGGTACAACGAGTCCTTGGTTGTGAATGGTGTGAGTCCCTTTATCCATGAACTGACTGTCTTACTTCTACTTCTTCTCATGATCCTGGCTTGAGTCTAGTACTCGCATTGAGAGAGATAGGGAACGTCTTAGAAGACCAGTTGACCTCGAAAGTTGCTATATGATCTAGGAAATGCTCTACCGACGATCGGGGTTGTATGTTACTATAGAGGTCTGGAGAGCTGCATTGGTTTGAGTTAGGTTTGCTTGGGGACAAGCAAACGGTTAAGTGTGGAGGGATTTGATGACTCGATATTTGCACATGTTTTCCCCTTTGTTTCTTGATCGTTTGAGCTTTAATTATCGCGTCTTTGGCCTATTTTACGCTAGGTTCTGTTCCTTTGTCACATTTCAGGTCCTAGCACATAAAGTGAAGCATAGGCGCAAGTTTCAAATCAATCAGAGATCAATTGACGATTAGGGAGAAGAAACTCGGGCATGACCTGAAGAAGAATGGATTTATACCTCACCTTATGGACAAATAATCATGCAAGCTTGTCATAAAAAGAAAGAGGACGAGACTACGAGCGTCTAGGATCAAACGGAGACTGATTCGGAGTCCGGACGAGGGAGAAACGAAGCATTGAATATAGGGGAACAGGTTCGGCAGTAAAAACACGGGCGCGCCTAAATCAAAACACGGCCGTGTCCATATTTAGGCACGACCGTGTTTTGGCTGACGAGGGTTGCTGGGGGCAAAACATGGGCGGGCAAAATTGAAACACGGCCGTGTCCTCGGCCGTGTTTTGCCCAAAATCGGGTTTTTTAGGCAGATTCAAGCCAAAGGAAAGGGGGAGCTGGGTTTTGGGATCCAAACACCCAAGGGACGAATCCTAGAGAGAGAGCGACTTGGGAACATTCTTGGAGCTATTTTGGAGGATTTCTTCGCCATTGGAGCTCGGGAATCAAGCTTGGAGATGGAGATTGAAGATCTAGATCAGATTTCTGCAGTCTCTCTCTTCTCTATGGAGTAACTTCCCTTCACTTAGGTTTTGAGGAACCCTAGCTATGTTTGTTTGATTGGATGATTGTATGAGTACTCTGACTTGATAACCTTGAGTTCATATTCAATCTATGCATGTTTTCATGATTCAATTCTGCTTTAGTCGAGATTATTGATTCACTGCTTTGTATCGATTGAGAACCTCTTTCGATAGAGGGAATCTAGTTCAGAATGCCTTGATCGGTTCTTCTAGAGAAGGATACGTCCCTCTAGGCAATTGACTCAAGAGGGCCTTGTTCCTTTAGTCGAGACTCAAGGTCTAGTCAAGGATTCTCCGCATTGTGAATGAAAGTGAAACAGGTTAGAGATCATCAATCATTAATCTGGCTAGTGGCTAGGGGGAATCATACCTAAGTGAGTTCCTAACCTGTAATTAGATTAACTTTAGCTGTAGTTTGTTAGAGTAGTTTTAGTTCTTCCATCTTAATCTGGTTTGCTAGATAATGAACTGAAGCTGAGTAATAGTAACTCTAGAGACCCGTGGATTCGATATTTATTACTTGAGCCACTATACTGCAGTCCCTTTCATTGGTTACACTTGGCCATTGTTAGGAGTTGTGTCGTAGCGAGTCACTGGTCTTCCTCCGGTAGCAATGGGCGAGACATGGGACAAACTCATCGTCACCAACTCCGATTAGGACGCAGTAAGTGCACTGCAAAAGCCTAAGCCGCCATCGGGAATCACACTAGCATGGGCCACGATGGAGGGGTCAGGCTAACCCTAGGAGGCGAAGATTTACACGAGCCAGGGCCCGAGCGACAAGGGTTAGGGCCAAACATGGGAGGCTTGACTGGAGCCTTGTTATATGGATTCGGGCCTAACCAAATCGGGCCAAAGGAGCAAGGAGAGAATGGAGTGGATCCCAGGAACATGCCCCATCCATCGCCACATTAGATGTGTTAGTACAATGAGCTAGAAGTCCAACCACCGCCACACCAGGAGAGCTACTACCATGGCCTAGAAACTACTGGCGTACGGCCGCACTAGAGTGGACCTAGCGGATCCGGCAAGGATTCCACCGGGCCAGGGCTTCGGATATGGGCCACATTATCCTCCAACTGCCCAGGGTAATGGTGATCGAAGCAATTGGGCCTGTTGGCACAATGAGCATCATGGATCGGGCCAATACCTGGGAAATCATGGAAGGTATTGGCAGAGAGAATTATTGGCGCATCCTGGAGGACGTGGGAGCTATCAAGAGGAAGATCGGTGTAATATGTTCAAACCGCATCTCGCCCCTCTCGAATTTCTTAGATTCACCAGTCAAGAGGACTCGTTGGGGTGGATATTGGGGTGGATATCTCGAGTTGAGGAATATTTTAGGTACCAACGTGTTCTAGAAGAGAAAATGGTGACGTTAGCCACCTATCACATGAACTAGGGGTGGGCATGCGGTTCGGTGAACCCGAACCGAACTGGATCGAAAACGATCAAAACCGAACCAAAATAACATTAGTTCAGTTTGGAATTCGGAAGGCAAAATTTCACATTTTGGAAACCAGGATATGCACGACCGAACCCAAATTCCGATTAAGCGACTGAAAAATTGAAATAAAAAATGAGACCACAAACTAAACAAGCCCACTCACTTACATAGCCCAACTGACTGCCCAGCCAACCCAACCTTTCTAAACCCTAACAACAACTATAGATTGCAGTTGATTCTCATCTCTCCGACAGTCTCTGCCAACTTGATCGCTTTCATATCTCATCTTCATCCAACATAGAAAAACCAAGGAGAGAAAGAAACCAGGTCGGCGTCGTCTTTCTCTCCGCCATGAGTCCACCTTTTCTCTCCGCCCTAGGTCCCTCTCTTCCCTTCAAGGCTTCAACCTCACAAAAAATCGGAAACAAAACCAAAGGTTAGAAATCAGATCTCGCGATCCTCTCTCCTTATGGGAAATAAGATCTCCAAACTAACATGCAACCCAAATAGAAACACTATCTTTGAATTTCCTCATAGTCAGAGTCGTTATGTGCAACATCGGTATACAAGTAGAGGAAGATTGGCGGCAGTGGATTGTGTTTCATCTTCCTTCCTTCCTTTCCTTCTATTCTACTTTTCTTTCTTTCTCTGGGGCAATGGAAATTGGCCTGGGAGTTAGTTTTAATGGTGGCGGATGGGATGGGTAGAAAAGATAAGGAAGGTAGAGAGCTAGAGGGAGAAAAGTGGAGAAGGGGCAAAAAAGTGAGAGAGTGAGATGGAGAGGAAGAGTCAGAGGGAAATAAATGGGTTTGTGTGCTTGGGAGTCTATTGCCCAGCAGCACCAAAACGAAACATAGTAGCAATTTTCGGTTTTGGGCAGAAAAGCGAATCAAACCGATTTATACTTCGATTCAGACATATCAAATCAAAATATAATTCGGTTCGTCCTGCACATAGAATCGGAAGTTCGGTAGTCATCTATTCGGTTCGGTTCGATTCAAAACGAACCGACCGAATGCCCAACCCTAACATGGACGGAGATACAGGACAGTGGATCATGTGGCTCGATGAGGAATTTGCCAAATCAGGGAGAGTCATGACTTGAGCCAGTCTGCAAGGAGAGTTGGTAAGGAGGTATGGGTCATTAGAGAAATCATCCGGACATGAGGCGTTGGCCAAGATTCGACAAACAGGATCAGTAGACGAGTATCCGCATAATTTCAAAAAATTGGTGAGTTGTTGCCATGGGTGAACGGAGGTGGCCATTATGGGTGCTTACATGGTTGGCTTGAAGCCGAAGATTGCGGCTTTCAATGTGCATTCAATCCAGGAAGCACCAGAGAAGCGTATCGTCTGGCTAAAATCAAGGAGGAAGAGTTGCAGTTCCAGAAGGCGATGGATCGGCTCCTAGGAAGAACTTGCCTATCACCAAGTCACCCGTACCACCAAGTGCGCCAGTTGTAGCTACTCGAGGGCGAGGACCGAATTCTCCAAATGCACCAAGAAGGATTAGTAGGAATATGTCTCCAGAGCGGGCCCAAACTAGCCCATTGATCCACCAACCAGGAGCCTACATTTTTACTCCTTATTAGTCATCGAGTCGTCGGCGACTCGATAAAACGGTTATAAGCCACTTGAAAAGCGCCGCGTGTAAAACGAACTGACGACGACCGTTCACAGGTCACATTCATCTCGTTCCCAAATTCAGCAGGCCACAAAATCAAACGCCAAAACGATTCCTCTACCTTCTAGTTCTTCTCCTCCTCCATCCGTCGCCGCCGGTTTCGCCATTGATGTAGCCTCGATCGAGTCGCTTCTTACCGCACTCTAGTTTGTCACTATCTGCTGTTAGGGAATTTTTCCGTAAACATCTCCCTTGCTTCCTTACCTTCCTTCCACGCCGGGGACATGGCGGCCTCATCGGAGATCAGCGACGGGGACGACGCGGTGGAGCTGATCGTCTGCGACGTCCCGGCATCATCTTCTGTCGGCTCTAACGGTGACGCTGCCGACTCTGTGTCGGAGGAAATTACTCCTTTGTTGAAGCAGCCGGCGGAGAAGCCCAAGATCAATATCTTCTCCATCTCTTACCCCCGCCGAAAACCTAGGGTAACTAAATCCTTTCATCCTGGCAACTGTACCATTTGCTAAAGAATTTCTAGTATCCGTGATTTATTACTGTTAGTGAATTGGTGACGACGCTGTTCTTCCGTTCGGAACTTGGTGGGGAATAGGTTTAGGTTTCTATAGTTTTGTTCTCTTGCATCTTGATTTGGTGTTCCCGTTGCGTAGTGCCAAAGCTCTTATTTCTGTCCAAGTTGAAGAATACTGAATTCTGACGATCTTTGAAGAAAGGTGGGAGGGAAATGCACGTATATTCCGATTGCAAATGAGGGAATAAGTTCATTACTAATTTTCAATTATGATAAACTTTCTCAAGCGTTTCTGCTTCTTATCATACTTTGTAAAATGGAAGAACAGGGAGCCAATTTTGGAGTAGTTTATGTGTGCTTATTGGTTTTCCTTTCTGGTCATTTGAAGGATCATGTTATCAGAGTACCTGAATCCGAGGCTCAAGTATCACAACTGATTTTGTGGCTGTGGGGTGGATCCAGATACTCGGGCATGCTGTGTGTCGCTTTATCGTCATTCATCTACTTTTCTATGGAGGTTGTTTCTGATGTCTTTGCTGGTAAGTAAAAGGATTGTTGTCCTGTCATGGTTGAGTATTTTGTGTCTTGTGTTGCTGTTATGGCAGTCCAGACAGTTTCTTTTTTGACCATCAGTCCAGACAGTTTCAGCATAAACACTTGAGAACTTTAGATCCATTGCAAAATTAATGCTTCATCTAATATGTGTTGATATTGTACCTCCCTTTTAGTAGAAACTATGCAATACTGCAGAGTCATCATCAGATAAACAAATAAATTCATGGTATGAATTTCAGAAACTTGTGCATGGTTACCTAAAATCTGTGGTAGTAGGAATATGTTCTTCTATTTCACTCTGCCAGCATCATTGGAGCCTGAGGCTTTTCCTTACGGTGTTTCTAGTTGCGTTATGCTACTGTATTCACCTTAACATCAGGTTCACTAATTTAATGGCAGCTCAGTCGATTCCTTTATTCGAGACTGCATTTGCTAGGTGCACAATACTATTGGTTCTGTCATATTTGTGGTTGAGGAGAACTGGACAACCTATGTTTGGACCACCACTTTCCAGGAAACTCTTGATTTTAAGAGCCCTGATGGGGTATTTGTCACTATCGAGCTTTATCTACTGGTGAGCTTCACCTTCATGTGGTTACTTCTGAATTTCATATAAACATTTTAGTGGTTGTCCTTTCTAGTGGTAGTTTATGACTGAATATCAGCAACTTTTCTCTTTCAGTGTTCAACGGTTGCCTCTATCTCAAGCCATAGTATTAAGTTTCACAACTCCCATAATGGCTTCCATTGCAGCAAGAATTGCATTTCTTGAGAAGTTGAAAATTGCTGATATTGCAGGTCTGCCAATTTTTCTATAACTTCTTGCGTTGCTTAGAGTGTGAAAATGTTGTGATTTCCTTACCGACGTTCTTTTTCCAGGTCTGGCTTGCAACTTCTTTGGAGTGCTCTTTATTTTCAGACAGAGCTTCACTGCACAAGGTAGAGATGTGAGTTAACAAACCTCCTGTAGCGTTCTGATATACGTTCCCACTAAACATGCTAAGAGCATAAGAACCTATAGTACGGTTTCTTTTTTAAGTTCTTACGACAACGGATGCTCACTCTCACACGTACCATACCGTTGCTTTTCCATGGTAAAAGCAGGTGAGCTAGTTAGAGCCGGTTCAGCAAGTGCTGCCAATTTGAAGGGAATGCATTATGTATATGCAATAATAGCTGGTCTTTTCTCATCCGTTACTGGTGGAATCAGCTACTGCCTCATAAAAGCTGGATCTAAGGCCTGTGATCAGCCAGTGTAAGACTTGACTTTTCGGATGTATCGAAATTACCTTCAATCAGTTGCCCTTTCACGTTCACTTAGTTTGGAGCGTAGGGAGATTTGAACCCTATGCTTCTTGCTTTTCCCAGGACCACTGTGTTTTCATTTGGTATTCTGGCCTCCCCTGCGGCCCTAGTCTGTATGTTCATTTTCGAGGTAAGATCAACAACGGAATGTGCTACATTTCTAATACGCTAGGATTTTGTCTCCCAAATATCTGTGGATACTTTGTTGTACATAAATCACTCTATTATCTTGCATCAGGAATTTGTTTTGCCAGAGCTGCGTTCCCTCTTCCTTATGCTTCTTCTTGGTGGTCTTGCCTTCTTAGCTGAGGTACATTTCCCTTGAAAGACTATGCAAAACACGGATTCTCTTTTTGTTTTTTCCATCATGGGTTCCTGACTTAGCTTGAACCTGCTCTCTTGGGAATTTTTTCCTTCTTCTGTTATATCTTTTAGGTGTTTTTAGCCCGCGGCCTACAGCTCGAGCAAACTAGCAAAGCTGCAAACTTTCAATACACTGAGGTACTGCTTTCACCATCTCTCTCTCTCTCACTCACTCACTCACACACACACACACGCATGGTCTCTTTTACAAACCATACTAAAAAACTCTTGCCGCTTTTCCTTTTTCTCGTATTGTTTCTTAGGCTGCATTCACAGAGCTCTGGGGGATTGCTTCATCGACAATACTTCCCTCTTTTGGCGGACTCATTGGGTGTTTACTCATCTTAGCTTCAACTGGATGTACCATATACATTGGCCCTGATAAAGACATGGAATGAATGAATGATGACGACGATGATGATTGCTGAGAAACTTCAACAGTTAATTTTTTGTTCTTCCTGAATTCATGCAACCAATTTGTAGCCGGTCATAAGTTTTGATTTGCAACTTCCAAGGTTTATTCGATTCTCTTTTTTTTTTTTTTTTTCTCAACGTCTTGAAATTTATGTTAAAAGCTCTTGAAATACAAGTATACTGTGGACCCGTCAAGATTCATGAAGTTTAAGTTCCAGAAAGCAAATCTTGGCAGTAGTTCGTTCTATTTACAGCTAGCGCCTAATTCACCTCATTGCATTACAAGTGCGTTTGGTTCTGTGTGGTTATTCAGCAAGTTTATCGGCGTTCGTAATGGTTTAACTAATCATCGGTAATAATTGAAATTTGTAGGGGAACACCATAAACTTTCAGATAGAGGTGGCAATTTTAATCCAATCCACCAATCCAATCCATCAATCCATTAAAAATATCCACCTAATCCAATCCATTTTATCCAAATCCAATTGGATTGGTGGATTCATGAATTGGATCCATGGATCATTGGCAAATTACGGTTTAGTACCTATAATTTTTATTTTTTACATTTTGGTACCTAAAATTTAATTTTTTATATGAAAAATATCATTGGAAAATTACGTTTTGGTACCTAAAATTTTTCATTATGACATTTTAGTACCTTAACTTTTTACATTTTACATATTGGTCTTTGGTTGAGGATGTCATTTGGATTCATGGATAATCCACCAATCCACTTGATCCAATCCATGAATCCACCAATCCATTAGATCCAATCCATTTAATTCATGGATCCACCAATCCACCAATCCAATCCATTTGCCACCTCTACTTTCAGAGATTGAACTTCAGACATAAACTTTCAGAGATTGAACTACAGAGTGGAATTTGTAGGGGTTTCACGCCTAATTAGATACCAGAACACGTCAATAGAGTAAGGCGACATATAAGTCTCTCCTGAACATTACTAGATGGAGCTAGAAAATCAATATTAAAGTAGAAAATTAACGTCAACTACGAAATCAATTTTCTATATCAATATTTTCAATGGCTCAAGAACTTTGTGAGCTATTGAGCTATTTTTTTATAAATTCATGAGCTATGTTCTTTTCATTAAGTGTTGAGTAGGTTATTAATCATTTTAACTAAAGTGAGAAAGTGTTGTAGATTATTATTTCATTCATCATGCAGTGTGAATAGTCATTTTTCTTCCAACGCCTAGGCACGCTTAGTCTACGCCTAGACGAGCTAGGCGCTAGGCAAAACCTCAACGCACGCCTTACGCGTACCGCCTTTTTGAACCTTCATTAGATGTGCTTTCAAATCTTTCATCCACCGAATATAATGACACAAAATTAGGTGTTTTCATTCCACTAATACTAGGTGTTATCATGATTAATTGGGTAAATACAATATAATAGCCAAAGCTTTCATTTTAAACAAAATAATAACCAAACCTTTCTGAAAACAAAATAATATCCAAATCGCTAACTTTCCATCTGTTGACTATAAGTTTTGGCATTGCAGATGACTGATATTTAAATATTTTATACCATCATGGTGGAGTCATGGACTTCTCGGGTTTGGAACCACAATATGTTGGTGGTTTTTCAGAGAAGATATCGATGGATATTGATGAAGTGTCGTACTTCGAACTTGATGAAGTGTCAACTAACGTTCAAATAGACGGAAAGTTGACGATTTGGATATTAAATTGTTTTCAAAAAGGTTTGGCTATTATATTGTTTAAAATGAAAGGTTTGGATATTAAATTGTATTTACCCTTAAACTTTATATATGGTAAGATATATAATTTAACAACCATATGAATTAAAATTATAATATATAGATTGATTCGTCCATAAGTCGTTGATCGAGTTGGCTCTCTAGCCACATGTTGAGACATATCATGAGCTCTAAACGAGTCAGCTCGCGAGTTTAGCTCAACAAGCCACCGAGTCAAGCTAGCTTGCGAGCTTCACGAGTTGAACAAAGCTTAGCTCATGTTCGGCTCGTTTATTAACGAGCCGAGTTTCGAACGAGCTTTTCTCGAGTCGAACGCCGAACTGCTCGCGAACAGCTCGGCTTATTTGCAGCCCTAGTTGCAGAAGCAAACCCCAGAAAAGCTCCCTCTCTTCGTTCCAATTGCAAAAAGTAGTTAATTTTTGTTTATTTTATTTTGTCAAAATAATATTATATAAAATAATAAATATCTATGTGGCACAATCAAATGGTTGACTATTTGCCATGTCATCAATTGACATCCAACTCAACAATAAAACTGACACATCAGAGTCAACTGACGGTTAAACGGATGGAAAAGTTAACGATTGAGCTATTATTTTGTTTTCAGAAAGGTTTGGCTATTATTTTGTTTAAAACGAAAGGTTTGGCTATTATATTGTATTTATCCTGATTAATTGATCATAATTGCATTCTAAATGATTGCATTTTAGTCTAAGATTGTTTCATTTTTATCATGGACAGGTTATGGTCGTTGAGTGCAAGTGTTTAGGTGAAATCAAGTCGAATTGGGTACCAGTGTAGGGTGTTGACTGAAATCTAGAGATCACAACAGTAGGTAGAAAACCACGACTGTTGTGTGATCCCTAATCTTCTTCTGGGTTCAAGGGCAGTTAAAACAAATCACGTCCCATGATCTCGATGATCAGGCCGAGAATGCTAGCAAAAATAGCCGGAAAGAATCAGAAGGTATCACAGTCTGATTCATGGGTGAGTCTCTCGTCATGATTTCATGACCACGACAGTGACTTGAGAGATCATGGCAAGGAAATCAAAAGCCATGATCTTCGAAATCAATAGTCAACCAGAGCAGAGTGGGGCCGTTGTGGAAGTTCACAGGCTCACTTAAAAGTTCATGGTCTGGAATAGACCGTGACCTCGTCTGTCCCCTGAGGCTATAAATAGTAGACTCAATTTCAAGAGAAAGGGATTTGCCATCCCAAAATTTCCATCACCCTAGAAATGAGAGAGAGGGCAAGGATTAGCACTTGCAGAAGAGAGGAATGCTTGGAGAAGAAGTGCTCACCTCTTGGGAAGCCTGAAGGCTGACTTTCCAATTGAAATCCTTCAACTCGTGCGTTAATTCCATAGATACTTGAGGGGCAATAACCTATAACCTAATGTAGAGAATATTGGTATGCTTTGAATGAGATTGTTGAATACCTAATAATTTATGTCCAATTGGTTGTGTTTAATGATCGTATATTACCTTAATTTGTGTTAGTGATGTTTAGGTTCTTCGCCTAAGAAGGTGACCATCCAATTTCATCAAGTCAAAAACTAAAAATCAATCGGAATAGATGGATGGATGTACAATCTTGATTTACCTTTCTATGTGTGTGTTGATCTTGTCCCTAATTTGAGAATTGATCTTAAATTCTAGCTAGGTGGTCAACTACATGACGGTTGATTTGACCTACCTAGCTAGGAGGGTAATTGAATGCATTATCATTGACTCAATTACCTCATTTGTAATTCTTGGACATAAGATGCTATGAAGGATTCAATTGAGCTCTTTGTTCCAATTCTCATGGTTTAGGATAGATGGCAATTAGCTCCAAATTCTCTCTTTCTCTTGATTATTTAAAGTAATTGCAATGGTAGGTTTTTTAGTTTGAACATTTTCACTTCTCCAACTATATAACTATTTAATTCACAAAGAATTAGTAGTTTCCAGACCTAAGAAGTACGACCTTGATAACCACTTTAATACTTAGCCAATTTACGGTATCCTTGTCCTATATTGGAGTAAATAGTAAACTACGAACTGAGTGCGTAGCCTACCTAACTTCGCTTTACCACCCCTTGGATCATTGATGGAGAAATGCCAAATAGTACTCAAGATCCTCAATTGAATAATACTATTTCTTTCTTCGAAAATGGAAAAGGTAACTTGGCAACCAATAGAGGATATGAAATATAATACAAACAACCGTGCCACTCGAGCAGAACATCTAACTGAAGTTGCTCGATTTTTTGAGCGAGGTAGTATGAATTTACTTAAGTCTTTGGAGCTCTAAAATTCAGAGGGAAACTACAGCAGAGTTACGCAAAGAAAGGACCAGGCCCTGAATAAGAGAAGTGGTCCATCAACAATTGAAAGAGTCTCCCAAGCTAAGAGGAATCTATTTACTGTTCCATACCCGACTCCATGAAGATTTCAGAGTGACCGAAGAGAAAAATTAGAAGGAACACTTTCAATAAATGATCAACACTGATTATACCCCTTATGGGAATCGAATTCGTGTCTTCGACATGAAAAAACGTTCTAGCCATTAGACGAAAGGGACCAAAAATCATTCTTCATATATCCGATCCTCGAGAATAAAAGTGGGTTGTTTTCTTATTTGTACACGAAATTCAATATTTCGTTTGGTTAAATTTATCATAGTTTGCAACAGAGCCTTATTTATATATAAAAAAAAGAACAAGATGGATCCCATTGGCTCTCCTTGCTTATTACATAGGTTGGTTGGTAAAGGAACCGAGAAGTATATTCCCTTACATGACTTCAAGTTCTATCGTCGAGTTTTTTTCATAGTCCTGCGAAAGTCTATCTTTTTATGCTCTTCAAGGTTCTAATCCCATTTTACCTAGATCAACTCTTTTAGCTTTTCGGAGTCCTTGGTTTTAGCATCTCAAGAGTTGTCAGACAAATAAAAACACTTTTTGCAGCCGGATTCCTCAACGAATGCTAGCTTCTTAGCTCATTACACTAGTTATTTCAATATTAAACTATAAGAATTGAATGTAACCAACTTTAAGTACTTAATGATTTATTAGTCAAAAAAATTTCTCATTCTTTGTTATTAGCCAAATCTATTGAATTATTAATAATTGGCCAAATCTTTTTTAATACATAAAATATTAGTCATTCTTCGTTAATAATTTTTTAACTCTTTTCTTAGTGAAAATACTAAAGTTTTGAAATATTGACATCCATGTGTCTTTTCAAAGTTAGTATCATGTTGTCAAATCAATATTATTACTAAAATTGCTAACTAGAAGTTGACATTTGGCTAATTATTAGTAATTCAATAGGTTTAACTAATAAAAAAATTATAGAAAAAGTTAGACTAATAATTAGCCATTAACAAAAAAAAAAAGTTTAAGTAGTATCCACCAACTTATTTTCAAGCTTTATTTCAAATAATATATCATATATATGTCCCAATGCAAAAACGGTTACTATACCATTCTGGTTTAATTAACAACTTGTACCATTTAATAGAAACAGATTTTTAATGTCTGTGTGATCCCGCTTTAGTAATGTAATTAAACTTAGCTTAGTTACGTAATCTGATTCGATAAAGGTGACTAGTACTTCATATTAATTTTATTTCAAATTGAACCA